GTGCCCCCTATCTCCCCCGTACCCTGCTCTGTGTCGTCAGCCCGGGGGCGCTGGGAACAGGGACCCCGCCCGTGCCCCCCATTGTCCCCGTACCCAGCTCCGTGTTGTCAGCCTGGGGGCGCTGGGAACAGGGACCCCCCCGTGCCCCCCATTGTCCCCGTACCCAGCTCCGTGTTGTCAGCCTGGGGGCGCTGGGAACAGGGACCCCCCGTACCCCCCATCTCCCCCGTACCCAGCTCCGTGTCATCAGCCCGGGGGCGCTGGGAATGGGGGACCCCCCTGTACACAGCATCCAGCAGCTTCTCCTTGGCCTGGGTGACGGTGTCGCAGTTCAGCACCTTCACGGGCACCTCGGGGCCACCAGGGGGGTCAGGGCTGGCACAGTACAGCGTCTGGGGGGGATGGCAGGTCAGGGGGGTCCCTTCAGTCTGAGTCCCCCTCTCCCAGGGTAGGAGTCACCCCCTGCCCTCCCCTCCCCCCTCTTCCAGTCCCCACCCCCTGGAGTTTCTAGCAGAGGTGTGACTCGATTTCTCCACCCCTGGACTTTGCTCCCTCCCTGGGGGAGTGACCCATGGGTGGGGGAATGACACATGCCCGGAGCCCCCCAAAGTGATTCCCCCCCAGTGTTGGGTGCCAGGGGGCAAATGGGATTTTGGGGGGCTGCTGGAGATGCAGACAGGGGGACACAGGGTCGGAGGAGGGCCCCCAGCCCCCCGAGGAGATGCGTGGGGGCCAGAGAGGTCACTCTCCAGGGTTCCGATAACAGCTGGGGCATGGCCCAGCGCCTGGGCAAATGGGGTCCCCCAGCCTGACCCCCCTCCTGCCCCCTGCCCCCAGCTGACCAGGGTCTTGTAGTCGATCTGCTGGCGGATGAGCTTGTCCTCGCTCAGCGAGTACCGCGCCTCCCCCGTCACCGCGTCCATCGGCCCCTTCTCCATCTGCTGCTTGATGGCACAGAACAGCAGGAACAGTGGCTCCCCGGCGCACTCCTGGGGGGGCATTACTGCTGAGAACCCAGGCGTCCGGGCTTCCAGTCCCCCTGCTCTAACCACCAGCCCCCCTCCCCTCCCAGAGCT